TCAATAAATGATGCAATAGTTACGCAATCCATTGCGAAAAGTAATAACAATTAAATTTAATGCAATAGTCAAACATTATTTCAAAGATTTTTAACAATATTTTCTAAACAAAAATAATAAACAAAATTAAATGTCAACAAACTATACATACCTTTGCAATGATTCAAAAGCATAAGTACTTCGTGGACACCGTCTCCGCAGTAATTGATGGCGGAGTCGACTAAACCAACAATATTTTTATGCGAACCTAAGTTTGTCTAATAAACGATAAGAAAATTAATTATTTAAAACACAGATAACGCATGCGATAAATGGCATCAATTGGTCGGTCATTGCTTACAGCGATCTGTATCTCCCGTTTACAGACATTCAAATCGTAATCGTTGTTAACAAACATGCGTTTGAGTGCATATCGGACTCCGTTGTGGGCCTTAACCAGAAAGACGAGCGCAAAACCGCCTGAAATAAGTGATCAAACAATTTAAAACAATCAGTGCTTTACAAGCAATATATACCTCTATATTCTGTATATATTTCTATACATTTCACTTTAATTTTTATTACAAAATACAAATCAAAAATCAATTAACCATAAAAATGGGAACAATTCTAAAGACTGCAGACAATAAAATGGTTGTCAAATCTTAAAGACTAATTGAGGGCACGAATGAACGGCACAACTGAATGAGGTTTAAGGGTTGAGTGACCAACACATATATATTTTTATCACCAGCATTCATAGCACTACAAAACGCCCTCTGGGCCCACCCCTCCCGCAACTCCTTTTTTACGTCCACCACGTCCAAAATACAATATACAGTGCAACCTCTCTCGGGGCTACTTCTCCTTATAAGAAACTTAATTGAAATATTTGTTGCATTTCCTATACTTATAATGTAACCTCCGTTGGAGAAACCCTCTCTCTAAAAAAAAAACACTTGCACTACAACTGACCGTTCCTTATACAGAGGTTGCACTGTATATAAATGTGATACAGTATATCATTTCGCAAAAGAATTTAACGCTGAACCCGAATATCAACATTTTCTATCTCGAATAATTTCGAATAAATCGGGATCAGAACCTCCCCATAGAAAAGCATAAAATTGTTTTTATGAAATATATTTTGTAAGTTAAATTTTTTTTATATTAAGTTAAGTTAGGTTAGGTTAGGGTGGGTTAAGAATTTGACAGACGATTGTTTGTGGGTTTATATACTGATGGTAAAAATATAAATGTAAGGACAAAACTTAGTTCCTTCTTAATTGTTGAATAAAAACTGCACTGGTGGTTTAATCAACAAGGTGATTCGCCCAATTATTCTACGGATAATGTAACCAAATTCACCCATTGAGACCATTTTTGTAACTATCATGGTTATTTAGTAATTTCAATTTCTAAAAACATTACATGTCAAAAAATCTCTATAGAAAACAACAGGAAATTTTCAAATTATTTTGTACTAGACTAATATGGATATGTGCACAATTACAATGTCCATATTGATTATCAAGTTTATTATTTAGACTAATTGAGTTAATTTAAAGGATTATAACAACAACTACGCTATGTTAGTGATAGTTAATTGGCTAATAGTAACACTTAATGGTGACAATTAGTGAATGCATTTGTAAATGTGGTCAATACTATTGACTCAATAGACTATACACTATATGATTGACATTTCAAATGAATAGACTGTCTGTTTGTGTTGTGGTGGCGACAGTGGATGTGCTGGTCATGAGGACAGTGTGTGTCAGTGTCTGCTTAGGCATACCTTCAGCGATGGTGTCTTCGACGGTGCACTGGAACCGATTGACCGAAAATACTTTCCCGACATAACTATTGCTAACGTTATTACTATTGGCCACTGAGTTGTCCCGACTGTGATCGCGACCAGAGGTCTGATTGTCCAGACGTTGGAACAGTTTCTTCATTCTTCTGGTGTTGTGGTTGTCTTCAGACCAGTTGGCGATCAAACGGATCGTTCAATTCAATGGCGATTCTTATAAATGGTGTTTATTATTGAAAGCATAGATCACAACACAATTGCGACCATTAAATAGTCGTTTCACTCATTATTATAGCAATTATTACTTAACTATTATTATAGCGATTAATACCAATGTATTGAGTGTTGTATTGAGTGGTGTATTGAGTGGTGTATTGAGTGTTGTATTGAGTGGTGTATTGAGTGTTATGTCCACCGTTTATAACAGTTATGTTGAACACAATTAGCGCACAATTGATGGACAAAAATCTGATGATTGAAAGCAAATGAAAAGCAATTGTAATCCAAATCACATTATAGTGTAGTCTATGTGTTATATATGACTATTCATTGGCTTATTATTGTTATTTACACTCATTTTCATGTAATCATTACATTATAGCCTTTACTTCACTCCCAATGAGACTAACACTCACTGTTTGTATGTCTCTCTCACTCTCTCCCCCACAATACCCAATCACTCCCGCACTCACTCTCTCTCTCCCTCTCTGTCCACAGCTATTCAAAGCGTTTCTAATATTGTGTTGTGTTTTGTCTGTAATTTTTTTTTTCTGTATTTCACTTGCGATACGTTTGCAAACATTGACTCAAATGTGTCGACCCGTACAGCAATTATGTGCGCTCTGTGTGTGAGTCCGGGTTTCACACACACTCTCTCTAGCATTCATTTCCATACATTTTCAATGCCATTCATTACGAGCACAACGCGAACGCTTCACTGCAATGCACTGCTTATATGGAAGAGAACGTAGAATTGCTTACGAATACTTGCATTGCAGTGAAGTCAGTAGTTGTACAAAAGGGGTTATGGATGTTGATTCCTGCATATTTATCGATAACTTTACTACTGTTGTAATAATAGGGGAGTAAATATATCGGACGTATACTATTGTTAATCTATAAACCCATTAAAACCTCAAAAAGTCAAATGTTTACTGCAGTCGTTCACAAATAACGTCAATAAAATTAAACAGACATTTATTGACATTATTTGACAGGTATTATAGCTATTGGTTTAACATTGCGATCAATAGAGAGCATTAGGAAAGCTTCAAAATAATAATTTCAGTGCTATTGCATTCATATTCTGCAACATATTTAACATTTCGTGCGATTATTGCATTGAAAATTGCATTTTAATATTCACTGGTTTAAAAATATACATATTTAAGTTGTTACAATTATTTTGTATAATGTTACAACTCTGACTCATAGACTGAACTGAGTTAATTAATTGATTAGTTCATTAATGCCGTTTTGATCATAAATTATAAAACATTGTATGTTACATAAGCTAGTAGTGAATCATCTAGCTTCAGGCTAGACAAACTCTCCATTTTAGTTACCTTAGCCACCTGCCAACCCTTAAAGGCATGCACTACCAAGGTGCAATTTTATAATGAACTTTTCGTAAAAAATGGGTGAAGGTAACTAAAATGGAGAGTTTGGCGAGCCTGAATCTAGCTCATATTTATAGAATTTTACAGTACAATTTAATAGCAATTAATAGTTATTAATTGTGAGTTGGATTAGTAGTTATGAGACTTACACACATTTATAATTGCATAGAGATTAAGGTATAAAAAGTTTGTAACCCTAATTACTGATATATACCATGTTTAATTAGTAATAAATTATTACAATGTTTAATCACAAGAATTGTAAACTTTTTATCTCCACTTCTTTACTAATATAGTTGTATAAATTGTTAGACACTTATAATGTACTCAACAATCTCTATGTGACGTTAGGAGAGAATATTTGTGTTCATGAATTTTATTATCGTTCATATTTTGTTGGTACACTGTTTGTCTTATCATTGATATTGAAAAATATGAGTGTTTATAAGCTATAAAATATTGACTTCAAATACAAAATTCATTTTATCATAAATTCAATAGTATTTGAATGAGTCCTAAAGTTGCCTTTAAGTAAGACATTACGATAATTGTTGCAAAACATGATTTAAGCCATTGAGGAAGTAAATACAGTATATCTCATATTTGTTGCTATTTTAATATATTTTAATACCGTACATGATATGAGGAAATATTTTAATACTACTGAATCAAAATAAACAATTTTGCATAAAAGTTAGATAAAGTTTGGATTAAAACTTTATTAAAGTGTCCATGGTTGCTATATAAGTCATAAACGAATAACATTATTAATTGAATAAATGAATTAGCCTGGATTTGCATTCCCGATTCCCAATTTGGAATACCCAATATTCTAGTGATAAGAAACAATTTGCCAATAGGTTTCAAAATCACATTCAACATGGTGAGGTTATGAGTAAAAAGTCAGGTATCAAGTCCGCAACACCTTGGTTTAATTGTTTATGTCAGGACTGATCACGTAAGAACTTTTCCCAATGTTGACAGTTATGTAAATTTAAACTGTGAACATTGACCAAGTCCGTTAACTTTTTGGTCTTTGACCAGTCTTTACAGTTATCCATAAAACATATAACAGATAACATATAAAACAAGCAAAATATATATTTCCATAAAATTTGTATTAATTATTTAATTATAACTTGTAAAATCATTATAATGTGTACTGAAATACTTGTATTATAATAATTTATTAATAGTAAAAGTAATTTTGAATTTTTATTAATAATTTATTTCACTAAAACAACGCCGAGATTTTCAATGAGACTCTTTCAAAATGTTTAATTCAAATTTTAAACACATATGAAATGAAACTACAATTACTTTCCCATATATTCTGGTCGCCGTATTTTCCACCAGATATACTGCTTATACGGTATTTACCGGAAAATAACATATTCACATAATTACACTTGATTTTAGCCAACACTGAAAACATTATATTAATTTTATTCCTACATAAATGCAAAACATATAGTTTTAGATATAAATTAAACATTCATTTATGTGTTGAACGAAATGTCGGTCTCGAAGAATAAGTCAAAGGCAGATGAAAGTCATTTAACAAGTTTTTATAAGACACCGAAAGAGTTAATCCATACGAGATTGTCGTTTCAATTGATACCAAAGATAAGGGAAAATGTGACCAAAATCTATGCAAACAATAAGAGTATCGCCGATGAGTGCGATATAAATCGGATTCTTTCGGACGACTGGTCTGTTCAGAGGTTTGCCGACTATTACCACAACGATGTCGAGGAAGCGACTCAACACCTCATCGCGACTCTCAAGTGGAGAAAGTCTTTCGGCGTTAATAAGAGATCATTAGATAAAGACATCGGCAAAGAGTTCTTCACAATCGGCGCACTCTTTGTCTACGAAGAGGACAAGAATGGCATTCCTTTGGTATGATTTCATTTGGCAAACAATTGTCACATTTAAGTGCTATATAATTGTTAACATTTATAATCTGTTTATACTGTTTATGATTAGCTGATCCTAAGAGGCAAATGTAACCGAAAAGTAACAGAATTGCGAGAACTCATTGAAATGTTTATAATCGGAACTATTGAACAATTGGACACAAGAGTCGGCAAAACGGGATTTATTTTGGTCCTCGACTGCAGTGATTGCGGTCTCAATAACTTAAGTATGGATTTAATGAAATTTATTATCACAAGTCTTACGGTTTACTATCCGTTGGGCATTCAATACATACTGGTATATAACATGCCGTGGCTTATGAGGGGTATATGGAAACTGATTAAGGTATGGCTCGGAGAGTACCGACACTTTGTCCACTTTGCAAACGGGGATGAGATCACTAAATACGTGGACATCGAGTCGTTGCCTAAATATATGGGCGGAAAGTGTAGCAAATTGTTTACCGAAGCGCCCGATAATTGTCCCACAGTTTACGATTTGGCCGAAAAGTATGGTTTCACTCAAACAGAGGTCCGAAAGTATATGAAAATATACGACGACTTGTTAGAAGAGGCCAAACATTATTGATTCAAATGTCAATTTTATTTGTTGTNTATCACATTAAATCTGTATTTGCGCGCTTCGAGAGCCCATCCCTCACGAGTGGCTTTTCTCCTCAAATAGTATTTGCCTGAAGTTCTTGCGGCCGAATGAACGAAGACTGGCGTCCAATTGGATCCACATTTAGGCTCTATTAAGACTCTTCGGGTTAACTCAATCTCTTGCAAAGTGTGTTCATATCTCACTCCAAACACTGATTCCGGGAATGAAAATATGTTTATAAGAATTATACAAAAAGTGTTGACAAATATTTGAGTGATCATCGCTTTAGCGTATAATAATTTTAATCCGTTTTGATAATATAATTACAGAAATACGTTTGTTTTCAGATAAAATGTAGTTTAACTTAAATCTTAATAACAATCAATAGTAACTATATTTTTGTGATGTTTATTATTTAAAAATCTATTGAATTTTTTATAAGCAAATCATTTGATTGTTTTGATAAAAAGTTTCTGACTTATTATAATACTAATTTTAAGACTCATTTAGTGTTTAATTTAAATGCAAACAATTAATAAATTAATTATTGAATTGAAAAACAGCCACAAAATATTTGTTTAAAAATTGAATGTTTTCTCAATTCATTACACTTTATGCCATAAATAAAGATAATTAAACTTAAAATAAAGTTTTTACACATTTTAATCTGATTATCATATTTCTTACATATTATACATTTCGTACTAAAACTAATGACTCGACGATCAGTCGTGAGAATGATTGCAATTGTCAACACATTTGACGTTTGGATCAAAACAAGTGATTTTGAATTTTGTAACAAAAAACATCGAAACATATAAAACAAGAATATTTTATTATTCAAAAGTCAATTAAAACAAACAGTTAATATTGAAGACAAGGAAGCAGTACAGAGAAAATGTTTTACAAATATGTGTTCACATCTATTCCATAACAACTTTACGACCAGTTTGTGTCGCCATTTGGTTGGTCCACAACCGACGACCGCTGGTCTTCTTATTATCGCCGTCCGAGTCGTCCACTACTATCGGCTCGTCTTCTGATTCCGTGGAAAACAATCTCTGGTTTAAAAATTTGCCTCTCATTTCAATTTTGGTACTGATTTTAGATTTCTTTCTCTTTTTTGGTGACCAAAAACAACAATATAAGATCAATGCTATCGCTATCAGACCCGACACTATAAAAAAGCTCAACCCTATCACAATAAGTATTTGGTTGTCTATAGCCAACACACCGTCCAATTGGACCGCAAGTAATGCTATCGTTAAACACACGGATAACGTTGACCACATTTGGTGTCACTTTATTCAACAGATTATTCATTTAATTTAAAAAAGTATTACAATTATCGCAATTTTGAATTGAGTGCAACAATAAGTCACACAATTGCCTATTGAATATACAGTGCGATTAATTTTACTATGATTGTTTACGCGCTTTTAATTATCAATTTGATTGTTCAAAAAATTAATCAAAATAATTAAACAGTTAATGTTAAATATAAGAGTAAAATAACGATACATTACATGTTCAAACAGAAATGAATGCAACAAAACCCTCGGACAATATAAGCACAACAGAAGAGAGTTCTCATCAAATATTGCCAATAATAGTGATTATTGTGATAATAATTGGTTTACTATTGATAGTCGGGTTAATCTATTTTGTGGTCAATTATATCGTTAGGAAAAACATCGAAAATAGCAATAAGAAAGAGAAAGATAAACAAAAAGATGTCAAACCGGCGGACACTTCGCCGCAGACACCGGGAAATGACAGCAACTCAGGAGATAAGCCGTCGCCGAGTGTTGGCAAAGATAAGGCCAAACAAAAAACACCTGAAAGTAAACGATCGCAAAGTAGTAGTAATAGTAAAATGTCTGACATGTCGGACAAAAGTGGACAAAACAGTAGTAAGGGTTCCGACTATCCGGTGGGCAATGGGTTAACAAATTTTATGAAACATGTGTTGGGTATCGAATCGCCGACCGATTCTGTCGATCACTCCTCCCATTCATCACATATTGAAGAATCCGATGAATCGATTGCTGTGTTTATTGAGGATATAAGGGAACAACAGTTGCATAAGAAATAATGTATGAAAAATGAATGTATGAAAAGAGTAACATTGAATTATATGGGAAAAAAATTAATTTAATCATACTCTGCTGTGTTGTAAACAATTAATAATAAAATTGACATTTTTATAACTAATTAAACATTTATTTATAATAATTTTATATCACAACATTGCTGTGATTAAATAAGCTAAATGACAAATTAAAAGTAATTTTCCGACTAATAGTACTGTATTATACTTGCATAACAATTATAGGTAGGTATGATGATAATAATGCAAAGTAATCATGATTAAATCATAAATTGCTGATTCAACATATTTAATTAAAATACAAAGATAATCATCTAATTGACCTGGTGATAATAAACCAGTCAATATTTAAATCAATATTTCAACCCATTATAACATCTATTTGAGAAGTGATTAGATCAAGATCTTTATGAATGATTAACTAGTGTTTAATATATTTAATGCGTATAAATTCCATACGCATTTAGCACATGGTCATTTGTCTTCTAATCATGTTCATTAAGAATCTGGCTTAATGACTAAAAGTTCATTATCAAATTGCACCTTCGTACAATTGGTAGTACACGTATGCGTTTGAAGGGTTGGCAAGTATTTTGGGTAACGTTTTATGTGAGTATTTTAGTGAACGACTATTAATTGCATTCATTGTTATTGCCGTCGATTTCGTCACTTTTTATTCGGAAATTATGTGCTGACTGACTTGCCGTTTTTTCAAATGTTGTTTAACAGACGTTTGCGCTCATTAGTAATTTAGTGACTTTGTTACCGGTCTTCTCACTTGCTTCTCTACCAGCCGTTGATGAGCTTAGACTTTCTCGATTTAGTGGATGATATGCCCAATGAATTGCAACCATTGGTGTCCCGGCTGTTGACACTCGACAGCCATCGCCAGGCGTTTGTCCGTAAGATTGAGAGAATTGGTGCCAAACTGTCGGCCGAGGCGTCTGTCGGCCAGAAGTGCCGTCAAATGAAGCGACTCTTGAGTTGCGCCAAAAGTATTGAACGGATTTATGACCAAAAACTTGAATTAAGCCAATGTATTGTCGAGAAGATTAAGGCTAAAGGTATGCATGTATTGTATAATATGTTTGTGAAAGCCATTTATAAAACTAATTAATTGTTTGCTTTTGTATTACAAAGAGAGACAATTGACTGAAGATTACAACTGCTGTCTTCTATCGGATCAGACAATGCCTTTCACTTATGGCACCAGAAGTGGCCGAACGTGGTCTCAATAAATGCTACAATTGTTTGGCTTTTAGTCATTTATGCAATTAATAGCCATTTAATAGCCCCTAATGTGATGATGATTAAAATAATTACTGTATAAATAATTAGTGTAAAATATAGTAAATTGCTTTTTAATTTAGATTTAATTAAATTGTTAACAAAGTTTCATTTTAACGACAGTCATCTTAAAACTGTTGTCTTTCTATTCATAATTAAACTTTTTTGTATATTTAAATTAAAAATGTGACAAATTTAACAAAATTGTTATGTAGTTAGCCGTTGTGTGCGAAACAAAATCAATCACTATTACAAATCAGCACTAAATTCATTTGTAAATCTCATTTCAATCACTAAATGCTGAGAAAATGTGTACAACAAATAAAATTGACATTTGAATCAATAATGTTTGGCCTCTTCTAACAAGTCGTCGTATATTTTCATATACTTTCGGACCTCTGTTTGAGTGAAACCATACTTTTCGGCCAAATCGTAAACTGT